AAAATATTATTTTAACATATTAACCCTAATGGTAACTAAAATTAACCTTGTTGAAAATTAACATAGGTTGGTTCAACTGGTAATCAATTTTATACTATTTAAGCAATGTCTAGACTTTGAATCTTTGTGTATGTAAAAAATCTATGATGGAAGACTTACCCACCAAAGTCAGATGTGCGACGCGGGTCAGTTCAAATTAGTCAAGACGAAACCTTAAAATCGAGAATTCAACAAAAAAAATTAACCTTATTGATTTAATTAATCAAATATTCATAACACTAAATATATATTAAGATTAAATTTTCATCAATAGTTTTATTTAGTTGTTCATATACAAGTATTATTTTCAGTTTTATGAAATTTGATATACCTGACATCCACTATGTTTTTCTTTCTTTTTTTCAACTTTCCTTTTACTTTTCATCAAAAATATTGAACATAATGAATATTATACATATTTATAAATTTGATATACGTGAGACTTTCCCGGGATTCAAATGTGATCTTAGAGTGTCAAATTGATTCCATTTTTAAATTGATAATGCACCTTCTGATACCCACAGTCAACCTCGGGTACGAGGCTATACCATAGATAGTTGCTCTTTGGTCTCTTCTGAGTTCCTAAAGGGGTCCCCATATGTGAAATGGAATATTTGTTTTCGCATAGTTTTAAGTGTTGTCTTTCCTCGTTCCTCTTAAAATATTCTGCATTGTTTTCGTATCACGTGCAATCTCTTTACACCCACTTCCCCGTATTACTATAATCTAATTATTACATCAGTTTAGTTTATTTCATTATCATTTCATCCTCTAATATTATATAACAGTTAATGCCAAGAAAAAGCTTCTATCATTGGAAAAGATGATGTTTCTCCTGATATTATACAGTTCAAGTGATGGCTGTATAATTTTATATACAAAACAAGTTCATGAGACTTTTTTTTCTATATCTTATTAGCTCCACTATTCAAAACCCTAGTTGCCTTGAAAGGATTGTATCGTTTGTACGTATAAGAAGACAAATGGGCTCGTTGGCTTCGCTCCTTGAATGATTTGGGACCAAAAAAAAAAGAGCAAAGTCTTATCCTTCTATCAATAGCTTGTTAGCTTCACTTTTGGTAACAGTGGTCCTATGTAGAAACTCACGACCTTGTCCTATTCTCTTCAAATGTAGCTTTTTGATTGGAGGAATTATGTTCATAATTATCCTTTCTCAGTTTCCTTAATCTCATGTGTAGAGCCACTAGCCCTTGAATTTGCACTCTATCTAATAATGACTACCCGCAAGTTCTTTTTTTTTCCCATCAAGTTGACGAGCTTTTAATTGTGCACTTTTGGTAACCAAATTAATCATTTTTGTAGTCCCAAACATCAATTAATTAAGATTTATCAATATGTCGAGACCTTAAACCGGGGTAGTGGGCAATGGACTTACATCAGTTTCATCCATGGACGGTCGTTTTCGAGGAATGATCCAAGACCAGGGTGAATACCAAGCTTTTTGATGGACATGGTTGGCCTGGTATAGTGGATAATGAGGTGGCAATATTATTCGTAAAAGTATAAATGATATATAGTAGTAGTAAATATATATGGGAGAAAGGTGAGGGAACTGGACTGCTCGAATCAGCCCCACACGGCAAATGATTTCGAGGGCTAACTTCATTTTCCCAGAACGGTTATTATATCGATCAATTCGAGTCGGATTTCGATGAGGGCAAGAATCAAGAACTTGTCAAGTTTTATATATCCTAAATTATTGGCAGTTGAACAGAAAGAAGGGGAAAGAAAAAAAATGGTAGCTTTTAAGAAATATGCTTTTGGCAAAGAGCAAAATAGAAAGTAAGGTGGGGCTTTCATATATACTGCTGCATTATATATTGCATGAAATGATGGTGAAGATGATGGGGGGACCCATGATTTGGGTTTGATCAACACAAAGAATCCCTTGGATTGAGGAGGATGAAGAAGAGCAGCAGCCTTGAATCGTGGGACCTTTTGTTTTTAAAATCACCTTTTCTTTTCCTTTAACGTTCATCAGCCACATTATAAAAAGAAGAGAAGATGAAGAAGAAAAAGAATGTGATGAGCATGTGATCCAACAGCCTTTATGTTCCCCTCTTCTTCTATATCCGATCCGATATCCACAGAAATTCCACCATCCCTTCTAACTCCCTTTTTGACATTCGGTTGCTAACTACTTTTTTGGTTATAACCATGTTTACCACATAAACATAGCATATATCATTCATGTTTATGTTAATGATGTTTTGCTTTTTGGTTCTAAAGAAGTTGATTAATTCGGGCCCATACTTATTCATGCAAGGTCGGCCATGTTTTCTTCATGCATTGATTAAAAGCAAATGTTTTTGTTTCATTAGTGGAATTCAGAGGCCACCACATCACATCAGGCCATAGCCATCTTTCTTTATTAATTCTGCTCTTCATATTCATTTGTACGTAGAATATACTTACATATCAATCTATATCTCTTGTCCTTTGTACATGACACAGTTTCACACTTTGTATAGTAGGGGATGTCTTTATTTTTTTCAGGTAGAAGAAGAAGCATGTCTTTAACAAAGGAAAAGGGGAAGATGTCTCTTGTTGTTCTCTGCTTTTAATGTAACTCTCTTAAAGTGTTTGTTGTTTAAAATGATCTTTTCTTTTTAGTGATAAGAAATTACAACAGCCCATGCAAGTCTAAAATTACAACAGCCCACAATGGACCACCATAAACATTCGGCATTTAAAAAAGCAGCACTCAAAGAACTTGGAGAATTTAATTCACTAAGAAGAAACAGCAGCATGCGTTTAAAAAAGTATTAATTTTTGTTGGCCATGCTTGTGTAGTATACAAGTGGCTTTTGAAGTTGAAATAAGCTTAGTTTCTAGAAAATTGCGAACCTAGTTACTGAGTTGGTCCTGGCCGACTCATCAAATATTTTTAAATTATATTACCCAGATTGGTTAAGTGAGGGAAAAAGAATGGCACGTTGTTCATATTTGGTTTTCATGCATTACTAGAGAGGAGGCAGGTCGAGTAGCGCTCTTCGTGTGGTGCAGAGGCGTGTCATCTAGAAGGACATAGATGTCAATCACACATATAAAACACTAAAGACAAACTCCATGCCTTCATGTCTTCATTACTTGTAGCTTCTTCTTTATATATATATGTATAGATAAGTTTATGTAATTAAAATAATATAAAGTATGCATTAATTCAAATACAAATCCTCAAATGGGGTTTGTCTTCAATGCCTCTCTCTCTCTCTCTCTCTCTCTTCTGCTTAGGAAAAGAGACAATGAAAGAGACAAAAGAGAGTGCAAGATGAGACAGAAGAAAGAACCTTGTAGCTTGTCGTTGTCGTATAGAATACAGATTTTGATTCTTTTCTTCTCTTTTTTCACTTTTAGAAATAGAAAACCAGAGTTGGAAGAAGAAGATCAATATAATAATACACCCTACCACGCTAAGGCTTAATTATCTCAAAGGCCTAAACCTAGCCATCTGCCATTTTTCTTATTTCCCTCTTAAAATAAGAGTATAGCAGTAGGGTTTTTATCGTATTCGATCCGTGTTTTTAAGTTGTCTTTCCTTGAAATTCCAATATTCATTCAAACCCCATTTTTAAATATCGTAAACCTGCTGTATATATATATATATATATATATTATATATATTATTGCAGTATTTTGGAAAGAGAATCGGCGGTGGCCATGTGTGAGAGAGAGGAGGTGGGGTCAGTGATGGGTTTCACTTTCACGGTTTCACCGCGCTTTAGAAATTAGAATCGAATCTTCTTGGCTCCTTAAACAGTTTGGAAATTTGCTGTGTGTGTGTGTGAGAGAGAGAGAGAGAGAGAGAGATTTTGGTAGTGATAATGGTGGGCTTAGTAGGATCTGTGTCCAAGTTGCTGACAACTTGTTTTGGAGAGAAGAAAGTGAGCCCTTCTTCCATATTATTCATGCCATGGGTCCCTACTCACACACTTGTATATGATGAATGCCTTAATGCAAACAAGTTTTGATTTCATTCCCAGATTTCACCTTCTTTTTCATCGTCACTTATTCAAAAGAACTGCTCATTCTCATCAATGGGAGAGGACCCATTTTCTTTTTACATCTCACGTTCCATAGTTCCCTACCATGGATTACTTACATGATTAGGTTAATCAAAGGAGATAGTAGTTCTTTTAATTGATTTTGAACTAATCATGGTCTTTAAATTTGAAAGGATAAGGTGGCTGTGGCAGAGAGACCGACGTACTATTAATCTATTATTATTGGGGTGGGTAGGGAAACATATAAACAATATGTAGTGTGGAAATAATTTCCAGAAATGTGTATGAAACATGAAGAGGAGTGGGATTTTATGTTATCTAGGAAAAGAACAAAACAGGAATGACGACAATGGCAACACACAAAGAAGTTCTTCAACAACAATAAACCAAAAGGAAAAAAAGAAACCGTGGGCATGTCAGGTGCAGACAAAGAAAAATGTAGAGGTTTGCAGTTGCACAAGGACAGCTGCGTTTGGTGAGGGAGTTAACAATTGAGGGAAGAATTAAGAAAGTTCAAAGAGGGGAAAGAGAAGGCAATTGCATTATAAATTGAAATATCGGGACTTGAAGCTCACGTTCATTCTTCCTGCCATTGTTTTGCCAAAATCTTTTTAAGTTAATTTTTTGTTAAATTACAGAATTCATTACTTAACTTCCTACTTGTTCTTATTTTGATTATTAAAGTTTTTAAAAAATCATTTAATTATTTAATTATTCTTATCTTAATTATTCTACCGTTAATTATGAAATTTATTAATCTTTTAATAAAATCATTTTTCCAGGAAAAAATAAGATAAAATTCTTTTAGGTTATTATGATTTCTCTCTGGGCGCACGTTAGCAGGACTAATGGGTTCCTCAGAGTGTTTCGTTGTTGCTGATTTTCTTCCTTTCTTTTGTGATTCTAGACCTTTCTTGTTCGTTTTCTGTGGATTTTATGGATACTGCGGCTTCGAATTTGGATTGGAGGAAGCTGTTTGGTGGTGTTGAAGACCAATCATTAACCTACTTTCCGGCTGAGGTTTTGGAGGGAGTTTTTACCGTAAAGCCTCCGGTCGCCGTGATTGATGAGGGAATAGCTGAGTGGCGTTATGCGGTGGTGGGGCAATTCATTGGTGTGGCCCCTAATTTTGGCTCGATGCAGAAAACAATTGAGATTCTTTGGGGGAAGGCCTCGGCAGTCAAGGTAAGTTTTGCTGGCCCTAATCTCTACGTTTTCTCCTTTTCGAATGCTTCAATTCGGGATTGGGTGCTTGATAACGGGCCTTGGCACATTCAAAACAAGCCATTGTTATTGAGGAAGTGGGAGCCAAACTTGCAGAAGCTTAACCTTAACCTCATGAGCATTCCGATTTGGGTACAACTTTATAATGTACCTTTGGAACTCTTCTCTAGGAATGGCCTCAGCTATATTGCGAGTGTTGTGGGTCATCCTTTGTACATGGACTCTATTACAGCATCCAAGCAGAGGCTCGAATATGCTAAGGTTTGTGTGGAAATAGGGGTAGATACTGTCATTCCTGAGATTATTCATGTGGCATTAAAGGATGGCTCTATTGCGAAGATTCGGGTATATGTTCCTTGGTTGCCTAAGGTTTGCTCTCACTGCAAGATATTTGGGCATTTTTCCAGTGCATGTTCAGAGAATCATAAGGTTCCCTTAAAGGGTAAGGATACTCAGATTTGGAGGAGGAAAGTTGCTTCTGGCTCCTCTGTAGATGATGGACAGGAGAAGAAGCTGGTAGGCGATTTGAGTCATGCTATCTCCTCTGGTTGTTCTACTGAAATGAACATTCATGTAGGTGATGATACTGAGAGCTTGGGATTACAAGTTGGTGCTGCTGTAGAGGTGACTGTGGAAGCTTTGCAAGAGCGCTCTGAGGATATTCCTCAGGAAGTTGCAATTCCAACTAAGGCTGTTGTGGAGGAGGCTAATCAGTCTGTTAATGCTGATGTTAGGGTGAGGACACAGGAAATTGCAGCTCCTGATAAGGCTATTGTGGCTGGCACTAAGATTCAACAGTTTGTTACTTATGATGCTATGGTCCAGGCACAGGATATTATAGTTCCAGCTGAGATTGGTGAGGCTGATAAGAAGATGCATCAATCTGTTATTACTGGTGCTGGGGTGAGGGTTGTAAATGAGAAGAAAACAGATAGTTTGAGTCATGATCAGAATGCTGGTGACCTTCCCCCCTTGCAAGGCTCTATTCCAAAAAAGAATTCTAAAGGGAGAAAGAAAGACAACTCTGGCTCTTCTAGTAAGTTGGAGCAACTGGCTGGAGGAGCAGGAATGGAAGGTAATAGGAAGCCTAGAGCAGCTGCTTTGGGTGTTTCTTTGCTCCTCAATGAGATTAAGTCCAAGAAGAAAGATATGGTTGAAAAGGTTGTTGGTAATGGTGGCCCTCCTAATCTGACTTCATGATTTTTTGTTTTTGGAATGTGATGGGTATTAATAATACTATTAAACAAGGAAAAGTGATGAAAAGACTGGAGAAATTAGGAGTAGATGTAGCTTGTTTTATGGAGACTAGAGTTAGAAATTCTAATTTTTCTAAGGTGATCTCTGTTTTTGCTGATAATTGGCACAGTGCTGCAAATTATGAATTTACTGACGGGGGCAGAATTTGGATTCTGTGGAGGAGGAATTTGTCTTTTTCTGTTATCAGTGGATGTGACCAAGCCTTCTCTGTTATTGGGGATGTGGCTGGTCATAGAGTAGTTGTAACTGCAGTTTATGGAAGGAATAATGGCCAGCAGAGGAGAGTTCTTTGGGAGTATCTGAGATTCTTGGAGAGTGAGATTAGTTCAAACCCTTGGATTATTGGTGGTGATTTCAATGTAATTGCTAATATTCAGGAGAGTTCTGACTTTCCTGCCTTGAGTTCATATGTTTCACTTGATATGGAAGAGTTTCAAGGATGCATTGAGGATTTAGAGGTACAGGATCATCCATTTGTTGGTCCTATCTTCACTTGGTCCAATAGGCAAGAGGGGTCTTATTTGGCCAGGAAACTGGACAGAATCTTGATTAATTCCCAGTGGTTACTGGAATTTCCAGAGTCATTTGTGGAATTCAAAGCTCCAGGAGTGTCTGATCATTGTCTTGGAATTATGTGGACACAGAAAGGTACTCAGGTTCATAGGCCGAAGCCTTTTAAGTTCTTCAATTGCTGGACTGCAAATGAGGACTATTTAAACAGTGTGTTGACTTCTTGGCAGGCTTATAGTGGAGGAAATCCTTTGCAGGTGCTATTTTGTAAAATGAAGAGGTTTAAGTCAGTTTTAAAGAATTTGAACAAGAGGCACTACTCTGATATTTCTTCTAGGGTGGTTGCTAAGAGAGCTGAACTAGAGCACATCCAGTTATCCAATCTTTCTAATGCTAATCATCTTGGCATTGAGGAGGAAAGGAGTATTCAGGCTGAATTGGTTGGACTTGAAATTGCAGAATTGGATTTCTTTAGGCAGAAGGCTAAGGTGCATTGGTTGCAGGAAGGGGATCTTAGCACTAAATTTTTCCATCAAAAAGTTGAATCTTGAAAAAAGATCAACACTATAAGAGTTATTAAGAACGATGATGGGCAGTTTCTTGAGACTTTTGATGGAATGGCAGCAGTTCTGCTGGAATTTTACAGAAATCTCATTGGTGCAGTTGACCCTTTGGTTAAAGGTTGTCAGCATGAGTGGTTAAGGGCCCTTTTGAGTTATTCATTGCCTGCTGGTGCTGATGGAGTTTTGACTGGTGAGGTTTCTGACAAGGAAATTCAGGAAGCCTTGTTTAGGCAGGGGAAAGACAAGAGTCCAGGGCCTGATGGATATACATCCTGGTTTTTCAAATCTGCCTGGGGGATTGTGAGTAATGACTTCCTTAGTGCTGTGAGGTATTTCTTTCAATCTTCCTGCCTCTTGCCAGCTTTTAATGCAACCATAATTGTCCTAGTTCCTAAATCTCTGAATGCTTGTATGGCAAGTGGTTTCAGGCCTATTTCATGTTGTTCTATTGTTTACAAAACTATTACTAGAATCTTGGTCACTAGGCTAGGCCAATACTTTTCTGATATGATATCTGCTAGCCAGTCTGCTTTTGTCAAGGGCAGGAGTATCACTGATAACACTTTACTTGCTCAAGAAATTGTTAGAGGATATTCTAGGAAGAACTTATCTCCTAGGTGTACGATTAAGATTGACTTGAAGAAAGCATTTGATTCTATTAACTGGGATTTCTTGCTCAGTGTTCTTGGAGCTGTGGGTTTGCCTGTTAGGTTCTGTGAATGGATCAAGACTTGTGTGACAACCCCTAGTTATTCAATAGCTTTGAATGGTAGTCTAGTGGGTTACTTCAAAGGTGCAAGGGGTGTTAGACAAGGAGACCCATTGTCTCCTTATCTATTTGTTTTGGTCATGAATGTTCTTTCCAGATTACTGGATGCTGCAGCTAGGATTGGTATTTTCAAATATCATCCTAGATGTAAGAGGATTTCCCTTACACATTTATGCTTTGCTGACGATTTATTGCTGTTTTGTCATGGCTCTTTGGATTCAGTGTTGGGGGTGGTTAGTGTTTTGAATAAGTTTTATGAGATGTCTGGTCTAATGCTCAATGCTTCAAAGACTGAGATTTATGCTTGTGGGGTAAATGATGTTGTTTTAGAGCAAATTAAAAGGGCCATTGGGTTTCGAATTGGCCAGCTCCCAGTCAGATATTTGGGGGTTCCCCTAGTTACTCGTAAACTCTCAAGGACAGATTGTTCTGCCCTTATGGATAGAATTAGGGATAAGTTGAGGAAGTGGTCGAGCAGAAAGCTAAGTTTTGGGGGAAGGCTGCAGCTCATCAAGGCAGTCTTGTTCAGCATTTTCAACTTCTGGAGCAAACAACTTATTTTGCCTAAGGGTGTGATACAGGATATTGAACGATTGTGTATGCGATTCTTTTGGAGAGGAAATGATTCTTCGGCTAGAGGTGCTAGAGTCAGTTGGACTCAAGTTTGCTCCCTGAGATCGGAGGGAGGCTTAGGTCTTCGAAGTTTGATTGGGTGGAATAAGACCTGCTGTCTTATGCTTGTTAAGAGCATCTTGGCTGATGAGGGCTCTTCGTGGATAGTCTGGATTAAAGCTTATTGTTTCAAGCATGAGGATTATTGGAGTGTTGCTAATAAACCTCACTTCAGCTGGTTACTTAGGAAACTGATTAAAATGCGAGAAGAGGCCAATGTTTTATTTGTTGTTCCTGTAAGCTGGCCACAGGTTACAGGAGGGTGGATTTGGGAAAGGATTCAGAACAGAAGGGAAAAGGTTGATTGGCATCGCTTAGTCTGGTTTCCCTCGCACGTTCCAAAGTTTTCTTTGATCACGTGGATGGCTATACTCGACAGGTTGCCCACCAAGGACAGATTGACTCGGTTTGGAGTGGAGGCTGATCTCGGTTGCATGTTGTGTATGAATGGGTTTGAGTCCAGGAATCACCTATTTTGGGAATGTACATATTCGAGAGCTATTTGGGAGTCCCTCTTGCTTGCTTGTGGGTTGCAATTACATGGATTCAGTTGGGAGGATCAACTTTGCTGGATGACTACTAACTGGAAGGGTAAGTCATTGTTGATTCATGTTTTAAAATTAGCTTGGATTGGATTCGTCTATTTTACTTGGGAGGAGCGGAATCATCGTACTTTCAGGGGTCTGTCGCGTCCGTCGGATACAATTGTAAATATCATTAAAGGGGCAGTTAGAATTAAATTGTATAGACATAGAATGAATGGGGTGGATACTGTAAATAGGCAACTGTGCGTTAACTGGGGGCTTATATAACTGGTTGTAATTGTTTTTTTCCTAGCAGTAAGCTGCTTTCTTTGGATAAATAAAATTGATTATCCAAAAAAAAAAATTTGTTACTTAATTTTTAATTTATTTATATTTTAATCATTTAACTTTCAAGTTACTTATCATTATTAAAATCGGCATCAAATGATTTAAATGTTCTGTTTTATTAAATAATAATAAACTTAAAAGAGATATTTAATTAAAATTTATGGGAGAAAGCGGTGTAGGTTAGATTTAAATCCAAACCGAGTTCAAAATTTTTAATTGGAATTTCATCTCATTCCTCCCATGAATCTTTACAAAATTGAGTTCACGAATTGGAAGGGGTGTCTTATATGTTAGGATTAATCAAAACAATTAATTTAATGCCATTAATATTTATTTAATAATTAATTGTAAAAATAATACATGTATTTATACGAGCACGAATATACGTTGGGTGATGACAATAATATATATATATATATATATTAAATTTTCAATTATTCAATAAGTATGTGTTTAAAATATTACATTTAAGCAGTTGAAACCTCTCTCTCTCTTTACTATATATAAAATGTGTGATTTAAAAATTTTATAGAAAAATTATTGATTTTAAGTTATAAAATATATACCTTAAACTTGATCAAGACAATCAAATATTGTTTTGAATATCTATATTTGAATATTAAGATATTAAATATTTCATAAGGTAATAATTGTCTTTAACTATTACACTGACATGAGTTTAATCAAATTCAGAACTTATTTTTTATATTTCAAAATCAATAAGTTTGAGCGCGAGATTCTTAAAATGTTATATTGTTTAGATATATGTATTTTTTAATATTTAAATATAACCTTTCAAATGTTCACTAATTGAGTTACTGAATATAAGACTTATAAACACGTAATCGTCTGGTTCATGCTCATGTAAATATGTTAATTTCTTCTATTTGTATTGCATGTGTATCATCTTTTTGGATAAAGTTCGTATACCTTTTTTATGTTTTTTTTATTGTCTTTGTTTTTCTTACATTATGACTTTTAAAGAAGATATAGATCTAAACTCATACACGAGTAAACTATGCTGCTCAAACATGATTCACCTAAGGAGAACAAATTACGTACCACTCGAATCAATCTAGGAGTTTTTTTTTTTTTTTGGATAAATCAAGAATTCAATTAGAAGAATGTAATCAAACTACAAAAAACCAACCAAAAGTCAGCCTCACTTAAGGAAGCCCCCAGTCACATAGCCTCCTATTCACATTATCACCTTTATCTATACAAGTATTACTTAGCTTGATGCAAATTATATCTTTTATATGCTCCACTATGATCTCACCTGAATAAACAACACTATTAAATTGTCTAAAATTACATTCTTCCCATATGCTATACAAAAAAACTAGTCCAAGCAAGTTTTAAAATATGAATGATAAGCGACTTACCTCTCCGATGCTCAGTCGCCCAACATACAATCTGCTCCCAATTTTTGTAAAATAATTTTTAATAAAAACACGATTGACGTGATATATCATCATCAAAAGAATATTATTTTACTAATGTTTCTTTTTCAAGTGTTATTTACGTCAATAAAAAATATTATTCATATAAAATTAC